CCTCCGGGCTGCCAGGCGGGAGGCCGGCACGCCCCTGTGCCGCAGCCCTGCGGGGTCTGGCCGGGTGCTGTCGCACTAAGGAAAGACGGCGACTCTTGGGCGCCCCGACGATGGGCGCTGCACGGGCCTCCACGCTCGAGCGGCTTCCGGGTGGTTTTGCGGACGGGGAGGCGCGCGTGACCTCCCCGGGTGCGGGGTGCCGGGAAGCGCCTCAGGCCGGTCGGCCACCGCCCGCCGGGCGCGTCCGCAGGTGAGGCTCAGCGCCGGATCTTGGACCTTTCTCTCCTCGCTGCCCGCAGGCCTCTGGCCACGGTCGCGGCGCTGTTGAGGGACGTGGCTTCCGGTCAGCGGCCTGTTAGGCTCCTCCCAACGTTGGCCCCGGCCCGTTCGCCCCGTGTCGCCTTGGCGGCTGGGGCCCCTGAGCACCCGTAGCCCGTTGAGGAGTGTGTTCTCCCGCGTTTAAAGCCGCCTGTGTCCGACGCGGGCTTCCTCCTCCTCGAAGCTCTGTCGGTGGCGAGCCTCGCGCCGTCCCCGCGGCGGCGTCCTCACTGTCGCTGTTCTCGCTTGAAAGTAGAAGGCGCGAGCGGGAGCACCTGCCACGGCCCCCTCGAGTCGACGCCCTGCTGCGAGCTCCCTGGAGACAGCCCCCGCGCCCCGAGTGCAGACCTGCAGCCCCCGGCCCCCGGCCCGGGCACGGACTCGCCCGGCCAGGAGCGCCGCCCACGTGGGGAGCGGAGCGTCCTGCAGGAGGGCCTCGGCCCCGCAGCACCCTGTGCCCCGGAGGCGCCAGAGCCCGCCCCGCGCTCAGCGCGCCGAGACAGTTGTGATGGCACTGAAGCTCCACCCTGGAGCCCCGCGGGCCGCGAGGTGGGCACGCCCGGGGTGCCGAGGTCAGCCTTACCCCCGAGGGAGGACGAGGGCGGCCCCGAGGCCACAGAACTCGAAGAGGAGCCGAGTCCAGGGGACCACGAGCCGAGTGATAGGCGGTCACCTTGCCAAGACCCGGGCAGCTGGACGGAGGCCCGGGAGGCGGGATGTGGGGACCTTAGTGACGCCCGAGGCGCCTGTTCAGAAGTGCCCCTCCTAGGCACACCCCAGGACAGCCCAGTGTCGGCCAGCCTCTGCCTGCCCCACAGCACGGAGCCGTGGCTGCTGGAGGCTGCAGCTGACACACCCCAGGACAGCCCAGTGTCCGCCAGCCTCTGCCTGCCCCACAGCACGGAGCCATGGCTGCTGGAGGCTGCAGCTGACCCGGGGAGCACAGAGGAGCCCTGCGGAGGACAGGGCTTCTGGACCGAGCCTGGGGCCTCCGGCACGGACGGCGGCACAGGCCAGAAGGCCGTGGCCGCTCCTGAGTGGCACATGGGGAAGGAGGAGGGACTGCCGCCTCCCCCAGTCTCCGCCTTGGCCGCCAGCACCCACAAGCCTTGCCTGGAGCAGCCTTCACTGGACCCGGTGTCTACATCGAGCGACGAGGAAGACATTTACGCCCATGGGCTTCCCTCTTCGTCCTCGGAGACGAGCGTGACAGAGCTGGGCGGTGGTCACTCCCTGCAGGACGTGAGCCAGCCCGGCCCGGGGGCCGCTGGGCCACTCGAGTCAGGCCAGGTACGTGGGCCTTTCTCAAGGGAGAGCGTCTGAGCGTCTGCAGGCTGGTCGTTTCCCTCCTCGGGGCAGGAAGGCGTGTGCCTGCTGCAAGGCCCGTGGCCTCGAGGTCCAGGTTTGGGCCAAACCCGCCTGCACGGGGACCTCAGGTGGCAGGAGGCACTGTGACCTGTCAACCATTCCGGTGAGCACCGCCCAGGGCAGGCCTTGCTGGCCTGTGTGCCCACCAGCACAGGCACCTGCTGTCAGGGCATCTGAGCAGCTGGGAGGAGGGGAGCCGGTGCGGGAATGGGGCTCCAGGTGGGCCCCCCGGTGGCGCAGCAGGCACCCGGCTTGGAGTCCAGCGCCTGTGGGTCCGCCTGGCCCACGAGACTGAGGCGATCTTCAGCTGTTCTTGGTTAGTTTATTTTCCTTTTTTTTAATACTTTTTTGCACACAAGAACTGGGGTGCCGGCCATAGGTGTGAGGAGTGAGCAGACGCCCCAGAGACGGTGGGGAGCGGAACAGGCAGATCCACTGAAACCCACTGCTGAGGGAACAGCGGGGGACAGGAGAGGCCTGGGGTGCCGGTGGGTCACTCCCTGGCTGGGATTGAGCTCACGCTGAGGCGGCTGGGACGGCGCCGTGGCGCTGCGCTGATGAACCTTGGGCCACCGGGGAGGGCGCCCTCTTGGCCATCCACATAAAGTGGTTTCCAGAAGTGCTGCTCCCTCGCCTCTCCGCGCCGCGCCGCGCCTCCCGTCGCTGGTGGGCCTGGCGCTGACGCTCTGCGTTCCCACGAGCGCGAGGGCCCAGCCACGGGTGCTCGCCCACAGCCTGCAGCTCGGGGCCGCTCACCGCCGCACGGGCCACGCTTGCCAGCCGCCCGCCGAACCCTGTACCGGTGCAGCTCGTTTATCTCAGCAGCAAAGCCGGGGCCTCCCTGGGGGGGCAGAGGTCAGCCTCTGAGCTATGGCGCTGTCCCAGCCACTGCGGCCTGAGCATGACCCCGGCCCGGGGGTGAGCACAGGGCACCCCGCACCTCTCCTGCCCCTCGCTGCCCCCTCAGCAGTGTACGCCCGTCAGTCCGCCTGCGCCGCTCCCCACTCTGTCTCTGGGGAGTCCTCTCGCCCTCGTGCCTCTGGCCTGTGTCCCATCTTCAAACAGTGAGAGCAGAGCAGGCCCGCAGTAGGTCCTGCCGTTGTGCTGTCAGGCCGGGCGCAGAGGTCCAGCTGGGGCACGGCGGTGGCTGGCCCTGTCCCGCCTCGGGCGGAACTTGCTGCCCACTGCTCTGTCCAGCCCTGGGGGCGGGGTGGGGGGCTCAGCCCTCTCGCTGCCTCCGGGTCCCGCTCCCTCCGGGTCCCGCTCCCGCGTCTGGCTGCCGTGCGCATGTGTCGGCCCTCGCGGCCCTGAGCCCCTCTGATCCCCACAGTCGAGGGGGGCTCGGCTGAAGTGGAGAAGGACGTGCACCCGGGGACGCCCCGTGGGGTTAGCTGGGGGGCAGCTGCCATGAGCCCCTCCGAGGGGGGAGCCTGGGGCTTGCAGGACGCCCCTGCCTCCAGGCCAGCGGGCTATGTGGAAGGGCTGGGAGAGCGGGGCCGGCTTGTGGTGGTCGAGGCCAGGTTGAGGGGTCGGGGCGCTGTCCCTGCAGTGGCTCCCTAGCGTGTGTGGGCGGCCCGCGGGGGTGCTCTCAGCAGGCTGTCGGGCGCAGGCTCTGCGCGTGCTGGTCAGCGCTGGTCAGCTAGCAGCTGGGTCGGCAGCAGCTGGCCCGGTCTGCGGCAGGGCTGTGCCCCTGTGGGTGCCTGGCCACCTGGCGCCGCCTGCCGGCAGGACCCGAGCCCCACGCCGGCAGGGAGGTGGTCGAGCAGGGCCACCCCGAGCCAGGCTGGGGTCCCTGTGGGCACGGGGGTCTCCGGGCCCGCGCCCTCGGCCGCGGAGCTCACCTGCTCTGTCTCGCCAGTTTGCAGAGAGCTGGATGGGCTACGCGGGCCCCGGCTACGGCATCCTCAGCCTGGCGGTCTCCGAGAAGTACGTGTGGTGCCTGGACTACAAAGGCGGCCTGTTCTGCAGCGCACTGCCAGGCGCCGGGCTGTGCTGGCAGAAGTTTGCGGACGGCGCCCAGCAGGTGGCAGTCTCGCCCTCAGGTTCGCCGCGCCCGCAGCCCCGTCCAGACCGCCCTCCGGCAGGCTGGGAGGCGGGCACGTTCGGCCTGAGCCGCCGGTGTTTCCGTGGCACTTTGAGCGTGCGCATCCTCGCGAGCTGTATAAGTACATTCTGAGGGCTTTTTTGAGAGAGATTTACGATCACGAAACAATTTCCGTTTCTTGGTGTGGCTGTAAAGCAGCTAAGTGGTCGGCGGACGTGGCCGGTGTGCCGGATGTGAGATCTTGGTCTCGCTCCTTTTCGGAAGCAGCTTCTAGTGAGCTGTCCGCTCGCCCCGTGACGGGAGAGCCGTGTCCTTTCACGCCTTGAGCGGTGATCGGCGTGGCCGCCCACTCACCTCTGGGCCCGGCGGAGACGTGGGCCCCGGGGCAGCCTCGGGGCTGAGCCCAGGTCGGGCCCGTCGGCCCCCGAGGGTGCCCCGAACCCCCAGTACTGGCCACGCTTTAAGGTCTGGACGGCTCGGGGCTGCTTTGCTTCATCAAAAAATCTCTCCTGAGAGCCCGGCGAGTGGCACCGCAGCCTCAGCTGGGCTCACGTAACCGCCCTGCCCCTCTCCCGCGCATCTCCCTCATGCTGAGACCGGCCTTACTCACACTGCGCCCCAGCCCTGGTCCCTGCTCCGCCACACCCCCGCGCCCCGCGGTCACCTTGCGGCCGGGCAGCCCGGGGCCGGGGCACCACTGGGCCTTGCCCCGCCTCCGCTGCCCGACTGCGGGCCGGCCTGGCCGAGCCCGCCGTCCTGCTGCTCCCGCTGGCCGGCCGCCCACTCGCCCTCGCCATGTAGCAGGACCCTTTCCACGAGGAGAGAGGACAGTTTTGCCCGGCCGATCCCTGGCGCGCCGGCCCCTGTAGCTGGCCCGGGGCCTCCCTGGCACCTCAGAGGCTCCCTGTCCCCCGGGCTGCCGGCTGCCCGCTCAGTGGCGCGTCCTGCCGGCCCTGCCGGCGGTGAGGCTGCGCCGGGAGGCGCCGCTGGGCTTGTGGGTGCCGCCGTTGGCACCCGCAGCCTGGAGCAGCCTCGCCCTTCTCCCCAGACTGGAAAGGCGGCCCGAGACGTGAGGGGACGCGGCCCAGGGCAGCCCCGGAGACAGTGCCGGCCGGGGCCGGGGCCGGGGCCGGGCTCCTCCCTGTGGGGGCACCCCGCGGGCACAGGTCTCGCCAGAGCTGAGCTCGGGGTGAGGCTTCTCCGCTGCACAGCGGCCGAAGGGACTCTCACCTCCGCAGGGGCCCTGCTGTGGAAGATCGAACAGAAGACTCACCGCGCCTTGGCGTGCGGCCGAGTCACCGGCAGGGGCAAGCGGCACTGGTACGAAGCGCTGCCCCGGGCCGTGTTCGTGGCCCTGAGCGACGACGCCGCCTGGGTCATCCGGACCAACGGAGACCTGTACCTGCAGACAGGTAACCGCGGAGCCCCATCCCGGGGCTAAACACGGGCTAAATGCACTCTCTTCTGGAAAGGGCATTTGCCGTTGCGCCGGGTCAGCTGTTCCTGCCACTGGCTCGGCAGGGGGCACGTGTAGAGCAAGACTTCTGCGCGCGGGGCCGGGTGGGCCATCTGGCAGCTGGCCCGGTGTCGGCTGGTGAAGAGCAGCGGGTCTGGGCCTGGGAAGCCGCCCTGGGGGAGCCCGGGCTGCTGGGGGGAGGCGGCGCGCTTACTGTAAATAGACGCGCTTGGGCCGTTGGCAGGACGGGCTTGCTTCCCCGGAGCAGCGTGATGCGCTGGCCCCGGCGGGAAGGGCAGCGCTGCCCTGCTGGGCACCAGGCCGTGCCGGGCCTCCGGGAAGAGCAGCCCGGCAGCGTCTGGTTTGCTGCTCTGGAAGGTCCTGGGCAGTTACTGCTGCCAGCCAGGGCGGGTCCTCTGAGGCGGGGCCTCGAGGTGGGGCGGGGGCACCTGAAGGCTGCTCCCGGAGGCTCACAGCTGCAGTGCTGTGTGGGCCGGGCACCCGCATCGGGCCTGGCATCACAAGGGGCTGCTGGGCACCAGCCAGGCCAGACATGGGCCGCTCGAGCGCCCTGCAGCTGCGCCTGGGACGCTTGGCAAGAAGACCGGCCTCTGAGCGAGGAAAGAGGGAGCCACGCCTCCAGGCTCGCCGTCAGCCGTGGGGCTGCACCCAGGGGAGCCTCCCACGGGCTCCCTCGGGCACCACCCCTCAGCTGCGGTGGCTCTGGCAAGGCGCAGGCCCCCAGGTCTGTTCCTGGTGGGGAGATAGGGCGTCTCTGGCCGGGGATGAAGGCGGGGGACGCCCCGGGCAGTGTCGCCAGAGCCCGCACCTGGGCCCAGAGGGCTAGTCTCTGGCCTGGGTCTGGGGCTTGGGTCCCCATTGCCAGGAGCCCCGCGGGGTGAGTGCCGTGCTCGAGCCTTTGACTAGTCGAGCAGTTTGAGCCCAGAGACACGCTCGTGTGCTGGGCCGGAGAGGTGGGTCTCGGGTAGCAGCTGTGCAGCCCCCAGTGAGAGTTCAGCCAGCAGAGGCAGCTGGGCGAGGGCCTGGGCGGGGCCTCGAGCTCGGGGCTGCCGCAGCCCGACCTGCCTCTTCACCTGGGGAGTTCGGAATTCGCGGCGTCTAGTCCAGCTCGGATACCCCACCAGATGGACGGGGTGCTGTGCGCTCTGTTGGAATTTCTCCCCCTCAGGAGGCCCCTTGGGCCCCCACTCAGCTGAGCTCTGAGCACGGGGCGCCCTCGCCCAGGCCTCACTCAGGGCCTGGGTCCGGCCACTCTCCTGCCCTGGGCCCCAGTGTCTTGGGGCCACCAGGAAATTCAGGAGTGTCACTCAGTTGCCCAGGAACGTCTGACAGCACATCGACGGTGACGCACCCAAACACAGGCCCCCTCGCATTGAGTGGCCTGAGCAAGAACAGCAGCTGCCGAGGCTGGCGCGGGCTGGGGCGGCCGCGCCCGACCGCACCTGCAGCCGCCCTTGTCTCACCGGCAGGTCTCAGCGCGGATCGCCCCTGCGCGCGCGCCGTGAAGGTCGACTGTCCGTACCCACTGGCCCAGGTCACAGCCCGCAACTGCGTGGTGTGGGCGCTGACGGAGCAGAGGGCCCTCCTGTACCGGGAGGGCGTGAGCAGCTTCTGTCCCGAAGGGGAGCAGTGGAAGTGTGACATCGTCAGGTACCGCCAGGTGGCGTCCCGCGGCCCCCACGCCCCTGGCCTGTCGGGCTGCCCCCCCCAAGCTGCGCGTCTGCTGTCAGCCCCCCTGAGCAGCCGGCCTTGGTGCTGCCAGACCTGACGCCAGGGGGCCGGTCAGTGCCCCGCACCCCCGAGTCTGCTGAGGCTGAGCGGGGCCACCCTGTGGCGGACCACTTCTGTGAGGGTCCCAGACCGTCCGAGCCACGTACTTTCCTCTTGTCTTCATCCTGGTCTAATAAAAGTGGCCTGATCTTTACTTGGCCACTTTACATATGGAAACTAAATTGCCACCAGCTCATCCTGCTAACGTGAGACTGTTAGTAGTTCTTAGGAAAAGGCAGATCAGGACATTCTTGGCCTGAGTGGACATCCCAGTGGCTTTCAGCGAGGGCCTGTTGTGTGGACTGTGTGGGCCAGGTGGACAAAGGTGGCAGAGGCCGTGGCCCACGCAGACTGGCCGGCTCCAGCAGCACAGGGGCGCGCCGGAGTGGGCGGGCACGCTTGCAGGGGTCAGGGCGTCCCAGGAACAGCAGAGGCCGTCGGGTCTGGGTGCAGCCGCACCTGCACTCCGGGAGGCCTTCTCCAGATGGCGGGAGGGGAGGGCATTGCCCACAGAGAAGACATTGTCTGCCCAGCACAGCCTGGCACAGGCGGCCGGTCACTGGCGAAGGAGGGAGTGTACGCAGGTGGGCCCCGGGCCTTGAGCTCTGCCTGCCTGCTCCCCGCCTCTTGGTTCCCCCCAGCACTTTCCCTGACGTTCTGGGCTTTCCGCGGGTCTTTCAGAAGCTCCCACACATTTGCACCATCCTTTTGCTCTGTAATTAACTCTGAGGAGCCGGTGCGTGGGCACGTCTCCTCCATGCCAAGCCCAGGGAGGCACCGGGGTCCCGGCCCTTGGGACAGCCCGCTCCGTCGCGGGTGCTGACTCCTGTCCTCCCTGTCTCCAGTGAAAGGCAGGCCTTGGAGCCCGTCTGCATAACCCTCGGGGACCAGCAGACTCTCTGGGCCCTGGACGTGCATGGGAACCTGTGGTTCAGGACGGGCGTCGTGGCCAAGAAGCCCCAAGGAGACGATGGCCACTGGTGGCAGGTAGGCGCTGCGCCCAGGCCTGGCCAGGCCGTGCCCAGGGCGCGGCCCCCGTTGCCGCCCCGGGGCCTGGGGCAGAGCTGAGCTAACAGCGCTCACCTCTACTTGGACGAGATGCACATCAGAGGCGCCAGGGAGCCCATTGCTGCAGGTGCCCTGGGGCTCTGCTGATACCCAGCTCTGTGCTGTTACTTTGGGAGATCTGGAACTTCGTCCTTAAACACTGAGTAAGCCCGTGACAGCCATCTGAAGGCCTGGTTAATAGTGATGTTTAATTCTGAACAAACGTGCTAAGAAGAGACAGTAGACAATAGGCTTGAAAAACCCAACCCACAATTAAAATGCATCTGTCTTTGCGTATTCAGAGGCCTCTTAGTAAATGCTGTTTCAAGAAGAAAACCCTTTGCCCACGTGCTCCCCGAAAAAGAAACCCTGAGAAAGCCAAGCTGACGGCCAGAGAGGCCTAGACTCTGCCACGGCGTCTGTCCCCGTGGCCGGGCGGGCGGCCCTGACCGCAGCCATTGGGTCGTGTCCACTGAGACGCCCTTGCGTACGGCGGTGAGGCCTGTCCGGCGACAGGGTGGGACGGAGCCACGCCTGCTCTTCGGCGACGTGCGCGTGCCGCGGGCCCGGTTCTGGTGCCCAGGTGCTGCCGGGGAGTCGCACAGGTGCTTTCAGGGCGCCTCCCTGTGTGTGGCCCCACGGCGCCGGCGTGCCCTGCAGGCGAGCGCACCTGGTTAGCCCAGAGAAAGGTCCCTTGCGCCGTCGACCTGGACGGCCCCGAGCCGTCACCACGCACGCACGCCCTGTGCCCACCCTTCCTTTCTGAGAGCTTGTTTACGCCGCTCACGGGGTCTGTGACAGTGACGTCACGTTCGCGCAGCCCTGGGGTGTGGCCTGGGGCCGGGTGGTGTGTGCTCCCTAGTCGGGCCCAGCGGAGAGGCCTGTGCGACCCGAGAGGTTGTCCCGGCTGGCAGTGCCTTTCGGGAGCGGCAGGCGGGGCAGGGTGGCAGCCCTCCCCTGGCAGGCGGTGGGCCGGCGGGTGCTGCGCTGACAACAGGTGTGTGCCCCTCCAGGTGAGCATCACAGACTACGTAGTGTTCGACCAGGGCAGCCTCTTCCAGACCATTATCCACGCCACACACTCGGTGGCCACGGCGGCCCAGGTGCCCGTGGAGAAGGTGGCGGACAAGCTGCGCCTGGCGTTCTGGTCTCAGCAGCTCCAGTGCCAGCCGAGCCTCCTGGGTGTGAACCACAGTGGCGTCTGGCTCTCCTCCGGCAAGAATGAATTCCACGTCGCGAAGGGGAGCCTCCTGGGTGGGTGAACTTCCTCCCTCCCCGTTTGGAGGCTGGGTCGGCGCTCGCTCGGCGGGGCGGCCCTCCCAGCCTGTCGTGCGGCGCCTGGGCCCAGGCCTGGGC